AATAAAACTTACTCAGAAACTACTTTAAAATCAAGGGGACTGTTTTAGGTACCAGGATGACCATATCCATTAAGCCTCCTATTACTGCGCTTCCTGTCTACCAGTAACCTGACTATCCCAGAACCTAAGCATATTATGCCTGGCCACGTTTTTTGTTTTAGACATGTTTTCCATAGGATGAAATTGCTGGATCGCCTTTATCTGCACCTAGTCCTGGCGTGTTGCCTTGCCCTCGCCCACAGCAGCAGCAGCAGTCTGGATGCCCCCCAGAAACCGCCGATGGGTGCTGCTGCCGAGCAGAGTGATGCAGACAGGAAGGTAGCGGCCAATGCTTCCAAAGAATCGCACAATCTGCAGTCTGACGAACCTCAGGGGCCCTCCGTGGAGCTAAACTATGGCATTTCTGCAGACCGACACGGTATTCTGTCCTGTGAGGTGAGCCTGGATGCTGCAGCCCAGCAACGACTAAGAACAGCCCCAAATTCCGTCAGCAGCGTTTACCTGATATGTCCTCAGGTAAGTGTCCGGCGGAAATTTCGTTTTTTCCTTTTTTTTCAACTTTACAATTCGACCGTCGGTTTCAGCGTGGTATACTATGTGCTCCACACCAGAATGATGCAGAGACGATGATTTGCGGTTGATTATAATGAGATTAGACTTTCACTGCATCTATTTCATTCTCTGTGTCCCTGCCCGCGCCTGTGCCCCGTGTCCATACAAAGTCCAGAAGACCAGAGATGGGAGATGGCGCAGGTGACTGGCGCAGCCAGAGCCGTGTCCACGCGTGCCGCCACACCTTGCCCGTATCCCAACTGTGTGGGGAGCGTCATAAGGAGCACATTAAAAAGGATCCATTGCAGCTTAGTTAGTCACTCCACACAACACAAAACATGCTGAGCTGATCGCGCAGTCCAAACTACCCCGTCAGTTGGCAACCTTCCGAACCATGGCTTTTTGCGTACCGTGATACCTTCAAGCACGTCAGATTGTTTAAGTTGAGGAAAATTTGCTAAAACGTCACCCTAACTCCCCCCCCACATCCAGCTCTAGGTTTTCTGACTAAAAGATAAAGCATATCCCACATGACACGTGCCTACCAATCTATTTGAGTAACACGCACTGGGGTTGCAATGACTATCAATAGGCTCGGCACTGTGTGATCGAACTGCCTTTCCCTGTTAAGATAGGGAGATAAGCTTTCCTATTAAATATCAGTTTAAAAAATCCTCTATTCACCTTGCATAGAATGAGGCACTCAAACCGCAAAACACCGGGCGATTTTAAACAATTCTTACCAACCGAACACTGCAGTTGCCAACACCATGACGAATCGGCCTTAAATGCGTTGCTAAATATAGTCAAAATTGAACTCCCTTCAAATCGACGCTAACGTCGTGCACTATTAAACCGATTGTTCGAATAAATAAAGAATTTTAAAAATAGGTTTATACTGAGAACAATGAATCAACTGAGATAGATATTATAAATTGATATGCGAATAGAAAGCAAAAATGGCGTGTTTGTTTCAAAAGCCCATAAAAAAAGAAAACTTCAATAAATGTGACAGAATTAAGTTGCGCAGATTGAAGTTTGATTTGTGGTACATTAAAGGAGGGCTTATCGATAATAAAACCTAAAAATTACAAATGATGCACGTCATGAAGCTACTACTGAGGGTTATATTTTAAGGAAGCTATGGAATTTTTTGCCCAAGTAGATGAGTTCGTTATAAAAGTGCCAGAAGCCACGATGTTGGACAGTCCAACAACGCCTCATTTGAATCCCCATGGGAGAATTCAGCAGCAAGGACGGAAGAATATAATTATATTGACGTACGCAGGCCAACGTATTTTAGGCCAAATAGGAACATACGCGTATACACAAAATCGCAGTGCAATCGGAGCAACCCGGTAGTGTTTTTGAGGGGTTAGCATGTCGACTGGCCTTCCGGCTTATCCGATTGGTTGGGTATAGCAATTTGCCGGCAAGAAGCCTGCATTATCTCACCACACGCACGACCTTTAGCCAATCAATGATGCGGTATTGGAAAGAATCATCAGGGTAGCGTGCGAGTGAGTCGGTTGGGGTTGCCTCTTATATTATTGACATGTTAAGACCGCAAACAGCGCAAATTGTAGTCATCTCAAGCAACCACAGGCTTCCACCTTTAAACAACCTGAAAATTGTAACCTGAAAGGTTGATCTCGGAGGTTACTGCGTGGTAGTTATTGACACCACGTGAGGAGTATTCAACTCTGGTTCAGGACACGGAAGCCTTGCATTGACAATTGGGCCACCACTTGCCCTAGCCCCGTACAAGTACGGATGAAGTTTCGGAAGTAAAAGGAGGCCGAGGAGTGTTTTTTGAGGAATAACTGAAAGGTAGCATGCAAAAATCCCAACTCCGGAAATCGGTTGCATTTCACTCCACGGTACATAAACCCTCAGTTGACGACCGAGCACTGGTGAGATGATCTGGGTATTGCTAGAATTCTCCAGCCAGTTGACGTGTGTCCAAAGGTCCGTACTCGCTGGAATAAAGTCGGCCCTTACTCTGGGGCCGACAGTTCACCGACTTTAGAGTGAAACCTCCTGACTGAGCAGAAGAGGTGACAGATGGACGGAATCAATGGATTTGAGTGTTCGAATCGTGCCTGCTTGACCATCAATTTGACTTGTTTTGAACCTAGTGAGCTTACCGCCGCTGCCATAGATAGCGCAAAGACTATTGAAGGTTTTCACGTAAAATAAGTTGATAATAGCTTCCAGTTTGCTTAGGCGACTAAGAATAAAACGCATGCCATAATCCGAAAAAACTCCAAATAACCCCAAACAGGTTATTTAATGCGTGCCAATATAGAAAAAAAACGGAGGGGTTATTATGAAAGTAGCTTTAATTCTGCTCAGGATAATAAGCATGTGTTCCAGTGAAGGATGCAACAAAACATGCCTTTTTTAAACAGGTAATTTAGTAGCCATATTTAAGTACTCTGACACAGACTGTAAGTCTGATCTGCAGGAAATACTCTTTGCAGTTTTCCTCTGTTAACCCTGCCTGGCAATATACCTATTTTGTCTGCTTCGAAGTAAGGGCTATGTGTAAACATTTTTCAAATCAAACAATGTTCCCAATTTTCTCCCCAATTCAGTTAGTACTTGCTTGAGGGATTACGTAGTCCTTGCAAGTCAGCAGTAAAAGGGACGTTATTCGGAAATAATATAATTGTTGACCGTCTATAGATCTTATCTAAAAAGCAGATGAAGGAAAAAAATCAATACTTTCGTTGGAGACATTATTGTTTGCCGTCAAGTGAGCTTTGTTTAGTTTTTGTCCTAACTGGCTTTAGTAATCTTTACTGTACCGGTCCGTTAGTCCGTCTATTTTAGGCTAATTCAATTTGACGGTGCATTTAGTCTATACACAAACTGTTTTTTACAGAGATGTAAACATCTTTGCATGCCAGAATTAAGAGAGAAGACATTCGAAAATGTTCTTATCATGGTCCGTCTATAAATTCCCTCTAGGACACCGGCTAGGACGAATATAAAAACTGATGTTGAAGACACTAATGCCTATTCTCGTTGAGGAAAGAGACCTTAGCTCGATGGTTAGAGTGTTTGAATTCTGATCAACAGGTCATCAATTGCGGTTGGATGTGACTGGCTGATGGCGGCTAATGAGCCAGATATGACCATTCTAGTCTCGTTTGTCCTTTTAGGCGACGCTATCTACACTAGTCTTCGCTGTGAAGTTGGTTTTTATTCTATTTTAATTTGACGGTGCACTTATTCAATTCGAAATTTGATTTCTCCAGGGATTTTAACATCCTTGAAGTATGCATTTTGTTTCAAACAGCCACCTCGACATAATAATCGAAAATAGTGGCGAGGAAAATACAAATTAACTATATTCGAGAATTGTGTTGAATGTTCGCAAGGTTTGGGAAAGAAATGTTCGTACGCTGTCATTTAGTAAGTGCCGAGCAGCAAGTTCTTTCGCGCCCCAATATTCAAGTATCAATTGGGAAGTGTGCTTCCAGACTGAAAGCCTAGTTACACCGTTTATTACGGGAATTCATGAGATAAGATCCACTATGGCAAGGCCCAGCCCAATCTCTCATCTACCGATTGGTATTCTGCGTCTGCAGTACTGAAGTCCTGAACCAACAACTGGAATATTTAAATGTATTTCAATAGTACGTAATCATAAGTACACGCGCTGATGAATGTCCACCTGACCACTTACGGAACTCATCTGTCCCGCTCTGTATGGGGTCTCGAGAGAGGCCCTGACAGCCGTAGTAGCTGGTAGTGTAGGTAGATAGTATTATCGACAAAAATAACGGAGACTGGAGTGGCCATTTCTGGCTTATAAGCTGTCGTCAGCCAGTCCTACCCAGACCCAAGTGGCGTTCCGCCCGAGCCTCAAACTCGCGTATTCTTTGATGAGAGTCAAACCCCTAACCATTGAGCACGAGCTCGTTTTCTTGCCGGGTTAGGTCGAGGGATATTGATATCATTGACATGTGGTCCGACCTCTAACGAAAATCATCTGTTCCGCTTTGCCTTGGGCCTCGGCGGAAGTCCTAACAACCGTATCAGCTTATAGTGTAGGCAGATAGTATACCGGCAAGACAACGAGCTCGTTGCTCAATGGTTAGGGCGTTTGACTCTCAGCAAAGTGGTCGCGAGTCCGAAGCTCGGGTAGGACGCCATTTGGGTCTGGGTATGATTGTCCGATGACGGCTTTTAAGGCAGATAGAGCCATTTCGGTATTCCTTGTCTTTGCCGGTAATATAAACTGCATGTTATTCTTGTGTCAACTGTCTTATTTGCTTCAGGCTTTACGCAATACAAATTCATCATTTTTAACCGGAAACGCTTTTGTCTCAGAACACCTTCACTGTGCGCGACTCCGTAGCGCACCTGCAGTGCTCCGGTCCCAGATGACGTAGATACATACGCGCATCACGTCGGAATCATCTTTTCATAGTGACTAGGGTAAGGGTTGCATCTTCAGCATATCCAGGACCCAATCCCTCATGTGCTTAATTTGGTTTCTATTGTGCCTTCCAGAGTGACTGGGGTAGCGTAACGTAGATGGCTCACTGTTTATTATAAGGGCATGTGATGGGGCCTGAGCATATTTTTTGTCATTATCTTTGGGGGGATAATACTACTGTCCTAAGTCTAATGTTCCGCAAAAAAGACGTTGCAGATTACGTAACGTAAATCAGCTCAGTGTAGGGCTAAGCGTGGTCTATGAGGGCATTAAGATTTTTCCTAGACCATGGAGTATAGATAAATAAAGCAATGCATATCAATTTTCTCAAAGTCGCAAACGTGGGAGTTGTGGAACGACAATCTAAGAACTTAAATAGCATCCTTAACAGCTTTTGGTTTATGCTATTTTCAAAGCATATACTATCAATATCGATCAGCGATATGAATGTCTGAGCCAACCTGCCTGCCTTGTGCTCATCAATTTTTCCTTGTTGGCTGGTTTGACCCTCTTATAGGCGTTTGTGTAGCTTGACAGCTGCCCGCTTTCTATTTCCTTCCAACAGCAAGGATGCCAATAAGCCTGTTTCCTCTTCTGATGGATTTGTCGCGGGCTCGTCTTTGCTCCCATTTCTTACGTTTCGTGTGACCTTGTCCTGAAATTATGTTCGCAATGACGCAGGAAGGTCTAGATGCCAGTTGACGGACGTGGCGCCTAAATACCATGTTTCAGGCGCCAGTAATTCCGCTGTTGAGATGTCTCGGCTTAAGATGGTCGCTATCTGAATGTCGAAAGTATGGTCAGCATCTCCGCTATAGAGTTCAGCCTGTGAGCTTGGCTTCAAACCGCTAAGCTATCTGAGACGTCAGCAGAAATCCCAAGTTGTTCCTGTGAGTCACACTACGTCGATATTTACTATGTTGCGGACGCAAAAATGTTGCATATGGAGCTTCGTTCAGGTTACATGAATCACAATCATTAAGATGTCGATGAAGTATGTGTGACGAAACCATCTACGAGCAGGTGAAGGGGACACAAATGGGTTCACCGATTTCGGGACTCATAGCCGAGGCGGTCCCACAATGGCTACTACTACAACTACGACACTACTACCAATTATTACGTTAATAATAATATTGTCTGCTAAGTTGCACCTTGTGAATTTTGCGTAGTAATCCCGCAGTGGCTGATGGACCTCGGCCCAAATATTTACAATAAACGTCGGCCTGCACCTATTGACTTTAAATATGCTGATCGACTCTATGTTAAAAATATTATTCTTGAGGAAATTAAAATGCGAATATCCCCCCTGTATGTTATATTCCTTGGAACACTAGCATGTATTCGAAATCTAATCGTTATACACAAGCTAAAAGCGGTTATTGGGTGTTCTTAAAATGAATCACCTGCTTTTAGCAATTACATTTTCAGAATATTATAGTCTGTTATGGCCTATTTTAATCCGTGAAAGAACAACTCACAACTTTTCATAAACGTCATCAAATCATTTTATTAGTTTACGATCATTTTATGCCAAAAGCATTAGTCAAAACAAATCCAACAATCCCTGCTTGAGCAGCATACAAGGATTCATTCGCTATTGAACGTATATGTGCGCTCAGTCATAGATATACTTTTTAGTTTGAATATTATTTATTTAAATACGATGCTAAACAATATATAAGTGCGCATTAAAACGAGCACAGAAAGATAAAATTTTTGTTCTAAAAGTTTTTTATAGATTGTAAAGCCTTTGGCCGACCACTGTTAGGCGTTTAAATCCTGGCACCCTCTTGCAATAAAAGACATTGAACAGAAAAAGTGAAATTGTGTAAATCCTAAAAGTAGAACGTAATGTAAACTAGCTAAGTTGTATTATAAATGGGAAGATTTACAGGCAGAAACAACTCCAGTGAGCCCGAAGTTTATGCGCCAGTGAGTTTTGGCGTGCTTGCATCCTGTTCTCAGACAGCAAATCATTAGTCAGTTAAATTAGTAACACAAAGACAAAGTTCTTGCAGATAGAGGCGAATATGCGAATTCCAGGAAGCGGTTCCGAAAAAAATGCGATCACTGGAAATTTTTTTATTTTTCTGATGTCTCTAATTCTGTGCAGAATTCTAAATCACAGATAACCAAAGATTGGTGTAATGCATCAACAGATTGCGCAGTACTTATCGTTTATAGCGGCCATCCGCACGCGTTCTCTAATTACCAGCTCCCCTAGCCACCGTTTGGGGTCGTAATTGGTGCGGTGACAGTTTGGCAGTCCGCGTTCGAGTCAGTATTTACCGCTATGAATCAACAAGCGCAACTATTTGTCGTTCCCATGCTGCGTAATTAGCCATTGCGTGAGCAGGAGAAACTGCCACGTAAGAAGGGTCGGGCCCAGCAACAACTCTGACGACAACGATCATAATTTTCGCGCAATTAGGAAGCCCTCGTCCGACATGAACAACGACATCGAAAGCGAACTGCCAAGCCATTATTGCACCAAATACGACCCCGAACTGTGGTTACAGGAGCTGATAATTATGGCATGCGGATGGCCGCTACGAACTACAAATACTACGCAATCTAGGTATGCATCGCCTCAATCTTTGCATGCCTCACACCATTCTATGGTTGCCTATGATTAAGGATTCTCGACAGACTGCGAAACGTCAGGAAAATATAGTTCTTGTTCCAGTGATTGCATTTTCTTCTATTGACAAATTTCTTTTTCATCAGACAGCATTACACAATTTAAGATGTATGGGCACCTGAAACGCCAACCCATAGCCTCTTGGTTCGAAATTCAACGCTCTCACTCACTGCGTCACGTATTTGTATGCATGTCAGACCAATAATAAAAATGAATTAAATTCAAGCGGTAATACAACAAGTTTCAATTATCGTCCTCATATGAAAAACACAAATTTTTACACAACGTGTGAAATAGTGCAGAATCTTATATCTAATGGAAAAATCCTAAGAATGAGTTTGTTAAAGATTATGGTAGACTTTAAACCTTGAACTTCAGTCAACGAAAAGCGAAATTATTCCTCAGCAACAAGATTAAGACACAACGAAAGCAAAAATATTTCTAAGTGAGGATATATTTCTGAAGATTGTGTAACAAAGTAACCGCATAGCTAAGATAGAAATATTAGCATAATTTACATTTTAAAAACATAAGGCGAGTACATTTGTGTGGTTCAATCTTCCGAGGAAAGTTTTTCTGAACTAACGGACAAATTACTAGTGCAACATTATGCAGTATAATAAAATGCTGATTAAAAAGTAAACTAAACATAAAATAAACATAAATAAAAATAAACATAAAATTAAAAATCATGTTAATAAGCACATTGGCAATTCACACACTTTGAACATCTCATGGGGTATAAATAAAGACTTATTTATACTTTGGGTTGTAACCAATATGAATAAGGCAACATCTCTCGTTACAGTAGAAAACGGAGCCCCATATCAAGCAAATGGGAATTTTTTTACTTAATTCATAATGAGTTTCTTCACTAAAAGGAAAAAAACGTTCAACCCACCGGCATAAGAATCAGTAGGCTATAAACGATCTTGTAGATAATTTCTTCGTGCGTATATCACTTTCAGAATGAGAAAGGCTTCAGCGGGTTGTTCTAAATGGATATTTAGTTTTTACCAAATCGAGGTTGTGAATATTGAATCGCTATCACTCAACCGTTATTATCCAGTAAATATCGTAAGCAGGTTACCAGCTTTATGAAATAAATTTCCACTGGGTTTAGGTTTTTCCAACATTGAGCAAAAGAAAGATATTTAACCAAAAAAGGTGGTTAAGTTGGTGCACAGTTTTTCTGGATATGAACGCCTTTTTTACTTGAAACTTCCTTATTTTCAGAACAAAGTGGCGAAATCCAGAA